ATTCTATGGATGTATCATGTATCATCCAAGACTTGTGGATAAGAACCCACAATTTGTGCAGATGACATCTAATCTCAGGATACCAGAAAATACCTGGTATGCAATGCGACAGTCTCCATGGCCTATCATGAACAAAAAATAGAAATCAAGGTTAGAACCGAGAACACTGACCGAATATTTTGTAAAGACAAATCAAAGTCCTGCATAAAAATGGCTTCCAAAATAGCCACAAGACATAGCACACGTGTTGTGAAAGAAGTCAAATAATGCTAGCTTTTGGGTGCACATAATGAACATAGATACTTGCAGTGACTTGGTGAACTACCAGTCAAAGTAAAAAGATGTTTGTGTATTAGGCCAAAGAATTATATAACTCTTTATCTAGATGAACACGTGCTTACAGTTATTATTATTGTTTCTTGTAAAAACAATACTAGTAGTTTACAGGGGGGTTCAGCACAAGGAACGATTAAACTTCTTGTTATTACTGTTATATAATTCCCTGCAGATAAAAGACTCAGCATGAACCTCCAGCATTTGTTTTGTTGTATATGTAAAGAGCGTGCATGTTAACTAGCACACAGTTCTGGCTTTGATTGAGAAGTGCAAGGACGCTCCTTACCAGTAATTTTCTCAGTGCTAACCTGTACTAATCAAGTACACTATGATACATACTCCATAAGACAAATTACAATTGGATTCTACAAAACACTTGGCAAATACAGAAAATCATGTGTAGAAAGTATAACCAAACAAAATCCATTGTTTATTGTTCATACTACATATCCAGAATGAGATTTCAGGAAGTTTTGGATGTACATGTACACATAAAGTAGATGTATGACTAGCGATTTTTCCTTGGGACGGACTACAGCTTGAACATTACAGACCTCCCGTACGGATGGAATAATGAAAAAGAAACAGTGGCCCAGAATGCCAAAATAAACCCGGCAGCCATGACCATGTATAGGATTGGGTCACCAGACATCTCACCCAGATCTTCCTCCGCCACGGGATCTGGACCAGGAGTGCACATGTTCCCCTGTGTAATCATGTGGAGGTTGGTGTTGGCTAGGTAGCTGTCCATGCCGAATGAGCCAAGCTGACCAGAGTTCGGTACGCATCCTGACAAGTTGTTGCATGCCACAGAGAACACCCCCAATGAACATAACCGCGTTAGCTGCCAAGGTACTGGTCCACTCAGCTCATTGTGTGAGAGGTCCAAACTTTCTATCTCCTCCATGCCGCCAAAGGTCATCGGGATCGGGCCAACAAAGGAATTGTATGACAGGTTAAGAGATTTTATATGGCTCATATTTCCTAGCTCCCAAGGAATTTCTCCATGCAGCATATTCGCAGATAGGTCAATGCCGGACATTGAAACGAAGAAACTTTGACCATATGTGTACAGATTCCCTTTGGTAGTAAAGCTAAAGCCCCTCAAGTCATAAAGACTTGGTTTGGTAGTAAAGCTGAAACCTCTCAAGTTATGAAGATTGACAGCTGGTCGGTACGATAAACTCTGTAATACTACCTCGAAAATTTGATCGTCCCTGTCACCTTCGAAAAAGAAATTACCAATACATGAGGGTAACAAACCTGAAAGCTTGTTATGAGACAAGTCGATTATCCTCAAGTGCAAGAGTTCACACAAGTTTGGAGTGACCTGCCCTTCAAACTTATTTCTGCCCAAGGAAAGCAGCCTAATGTTATCAAGATAACGTATCCAATGGAGGTTGCCTGCAAACTGATTGTTTCTGATATCCAAAGCAATCAGACTTGATATGTTGAAGAAGGGATAGGAAATATGGCTAGATAGGGAATTCCCAGACAGGTTAAGGAAATGGAGCAACATGCAGCTACAGGTCGGTACTGTCCCTGTAATGTTGTTGCTCGATATATCTAACAGTTCAAATCTGGTAAAGCTGCAAATTTGTGGATGAATTTTGCCAGTTATACGATTGCCAGCAAGATTGTAGGACTTTCAAGGAAGACATATTCCATAATGACATATCAAGTTTGCCAGATAACTCGTTGTCATGCAAATCAATAACCATTAAAGTCCCTCCTGACAGATCACGAGGCACCGTCCCTTCAAATTTGTTACCATCCAGGTACAGTTCCGACGTAATGGACAGGTTATTCATTCCGCCAAAAATCAGACCACCAAGCTTATTGTTTGAGACCTTTAAGCTCACTAGCATGGGATAATTAGTGAACACACAAGCTGGAAATTCCCCAGAAAAATTGTTGTTTGACAGGTCTAAAAGCGTCATGAAGTTGATCTCGCACAATGAAGTTGGTATGTGCCCAAAGAAGTTGTTACTAGAAACATCCAGAATCAGCAACCTTGGAAACATTAAACTGATGTTGGCTGGCAGCTGTCCTGTGACATGGTTCATGTGTAAGTCGATAACCTGGAGAAAAGACTGGGTGTGCCATATTGGGTCTAGCAATCCAGTTAGCGAGTTATTTCCAAGATATAGTTCCTGTAATGTTGCTTCCTTTGTAAACAACCAATGCGGCATGCTAACTGACAAGTTATTATTGGACAAATCAAGCACCTCTAAATAATGCTGTGTGTCTAAAAAATGTGGTTCTGCAATAATGCTCTTGTCAACGTCACAGCCAGAGAGCAATAACTGTTTCAGTTGGAAAGGAGGTGTCCATCCAGGAATATTGACATGGACGACTAGGTTAGCATTGCCTGAAAGGTCTATCTCTTCTAGTTTTATGAGGTCTCCAAGCCAAATGAAAGAAAATCTACCATTCAATTTGTTTTGGGACAATCGAAGACTCTTAAGTGACGGTGAAAGATTCGAAGATTTATTTATAGGAATTGGTCCGCTGAAGAAGTTTGATGCGAGATTCAACAGTTCAATATGTGGTAGAGAAAACAATAATGATGGAATGTTTCCAATGAATTGATTGGAACTCAAAGACAATTCTCGCAGGTTCTGGAGATTTTGAAATGCTAATGTTGGAATGTTTCCGCTGAATTGGTTGTAACTCAAATACAACTGCCGTAGGTTCCGGAGATTTTCAAATGCTGCGAATATAAGAAAATCACGCAACAATTAGAAACAGTGGCAACCTTTTTCAATGATATAAGCGGGAATGCTCATTATTTACCTCGTTCAGTCGGAAGAGCTCCACTCATGTTATTACCATTGAGATGTAAGACTTCAAGTGGAACTTGCTGTGAAGAAAAATTAATAGGAAAATCTCCCTCAAAATGATTGTCTGAGAGATCTAGGAACTTCAGATGAGGAAGTGCAAGTGTTGACACAAGGAGAGATCCACTGAATAGGTTGCTGGCCAAATTCAAGCTCCTGATGTTCTTAAAGGCTGTGATGAATGCAAGTATTATAATTATTACAGGTGCCATGAACAGAAAGTATGAAACATGAAGTTCCTTTTTCCAATATAAGTAAGAAATTCCTGTTTGTTTACCTTTAATCGGGAGAATTCCAGTGAGGTGATTATAGCTGAGATCTAAGACTTCAAGGGAAATTGGTCGTGAGGACGAACTTATTGGAATATACCCATCAAAGATATTGTTTGAGAGATCTAAGATTTTTAGGTGAGGAAGTGCAAATAGAGATGCCGGGAGGTTTCCGTTGAGTCTATTCATAGACATATTCAATTGTCGCAAATTTCTAAGATTATTGAAAGCTGCAAAGGAATAGGGATACGAGAAGGTTAACGATATATATGAAATCTCAATCTTACCTCAGCACCTACAATAAGAACAGTATGTACCTGCCTCTGGAATACCTCCAGTGATGTTGTTACCATTGAGAGCTAAGACTTCCATTGAAACAAATGCCCCAATAAATTCCAGGAAACCCCCTCCCAACGTGATGCCACTGAGATCAAGATATAGAAGCCTGGGTAGTCCAACTAACCCTGCAGGTGTTCTCGTTACAGCTACAAGAATAAGAAATTACCACACATATATACTGTTCTCACAGCAAGAGTTTATGGTCCAAACGTACCTTCGAAGCTTAGCGAACACTGAAAGTTGTATGATAGATCTAGGTACCGAAGCTCATGGAATGCAGAAAACACCGTCAAGTTTAAATACCAACGTTCACCTGCATCTGCTGATAGATATACAAGGGAAAGGTCGAGATGAGTCACTCGTCGGGTGCTATTGTTGCATGTCACAGTCTCCCACGAGCAGCATTCATCATCATCATGCCCCCAAAGATCAGGCGAAAACATGGAGTGTGCTCTCCTCAGGGAAGACCGGATGTCCATTAGGACAGCCCTCTCCTCCGGAGAGCAGGCAGAGGACAGGTGAACCATGGACTGTAATAAGAGAAATGTGACCAAAGACAATGATCCCCATGGCAAGCATCCAGTACCCATCTCTGATAATGTGCTTTCCCTTCCCCTGACTGCATGCATGTATATATACCACTTAGGTTGGGCTGTAGTGGCTAGACCTTCAGAGGGAAAAAATGGTGAATGGTTTGAAATTGTGCCAACATGCAGTATTCGTCTGCTAAATTTGACTAGGAGTGCAACCTGGCACACACGGTCAGTTTACTTGGACCAAGACTTCATCCATCAATCATCATCGACAGATTCCCCACCAAAAAGATAATCATTATCCACAGAAAATCATGTCGAACATATATTTCAAAGCATTCTTGAGATACCTTGAAACAGGCTTTCGTCCCACTTTATTTATAAATAAATCTGAAACGATATACAAGGTGGTGAGGAAATCCTCTTACAAACGACTGCAGACACTTAAGAGGGACGAAAGATGGTGACAGCTGATTTATATACACTTAGGTTGGGCTGTAGAGGCTAGACCTTAGAGGGACAAAAAAATGGTGACAGCTGATTTTAAGGTTGTGCCGACATGCAGTTTTGGTCCGCTAAGTTTGACTAGGAGTGCAACCTGGCACACACAGTCAGTTTACTTGGACCAATACTTCACCCATCAATCATCATTCATAGATTCCCTAAAAAAAAGCCATCATCCATAGATTCCTCCAACTACTCCCCACCCCCAAAAAAATTATCATCCACAGAAAACCTTGTCGAAATTTCTTCGAAAGCATTCGGCAGTTGGATGGCCAAACTTAGTTACATAGAGCAGTAGTAGGCATTTTCAAGTTATAACATCATCATATGGGGGCTAAGACAGTCAGGGACTGTCGTGGTATTATCACGGCGGGTATTGCAAGACGACATATGCCACAAGGGCTTAGTGTGAGGGTAAGACTGCTGCTGATAGGCCCGGGAGCGGGTATGCGAATAGCACACGGTAGTTTACCCAGGTTCGGGGCTCTCCGGAGAGATAACGCCCCTACTCCTGCATGTCTGAGTATATCTGGTATATATGGTACAGAGTGCTCCTAGAGCTGTATCTGAGGTCAGTGCCGTAGGCATCTGGCCTCGTATATGCATATGAGCACAAGTGAGAGAGTGGCTAGCTAGTGGCCGAATGGAGTGGCCGTGGTGGTGCTTGTGTGCTCATGCGTGAGTGTCTTGTGTGTGCCCATGGGAGTCCATCCCATGGATGGATGGATGTGTGCCTTTATATAGGCAACGCTAGCTTACTATCTAAGCTATGTGGTGGTATGGGAGCAAGGCATGGTGGGTGTCATGCTTGTCCTCTGGGTCACTTCATAAATAGTGTCAGGGGACAAGTGACACTATACATGATGGCATCGAGGTACAGCCTTCTCGTCCGCGGTATGGCCGCCACGTCGGGGTCTTGTCGGTGTCGCTTCGGGCTGCAGTCGGCAGCCGACTGGTTGGCGCAGTCGGCAGCTGGCAGCTGGCCGGGCAGAGCAGTCGGACTGAGGGGCTTTGCTAGCCCCGATGTCTTGAAATATGGTCTTGCCGTCTTCGGGGTACCCATGTCCAATTACTCCGACAGTAGCCCCCAAGCCCTCGGGCAACTTGGCAAAGTTGGGCGGAGGTTTTTTGGCGAGTGTTCATGGAAATGATCATGAAAAAAGACAAAGTTAGTCCATGCAGATATATCAAATGTTTGCTTTTAGCATTGCAAGTTTTATACGAAGGGTGCCGACTCGGTTTCGACCAAGCCCCCTTCTATCTTTTTCATGTCCCCTCCGCTCTTTGGCTTGTGCTCTCGCTAGCCGGACAGCCGCTCTGCGGTCTGTGGCTGAGAGTGGGCCGCGGAGTGGAGCGTACAATACTCAGACTCTGGGAGCGAATTTAACCGAGTAGATACTCATAAAGGAAACGGTCGGGTCGCCCGAAGCGTTTCTCTTCCCGGACGTTTTTTCGCGTGGGGTGACCTCCAGCTTTTGCTCTTGCTAGCCGGACAGCCGCTCTGCGGTCTGTGACTAAGAGTGGGCAATTGGTACCGCGCACGGTACTAAGCCGTCTGCAGGAACTAACGTCTCAGGCCAAGCGGCCAGCCCCCGGGCCAACTCTGGCTGGCGCCGGGGCGAACATTGATGCAACTGCAACAAAGATGCGGAGATAGCCCCCGAGCATCGCTCGGGGTTATCCGTGCTTGCGTGATGCAAAAAATATGCGGGTGGGGAGCTCACATTGAATTTCGTGTAGTCGCGGTTGTCGAAGACAGCCGGCGCGACTCGGCGCTCGCAGAGCGCACCGACGCACCTGCTGGGTGTAGCCCTCGAGCCCCAGGGTGCTCGAAGGGGGGTCCCGGCCGGTCAGGCTCGACCGGCTAGGCGGCGAGGTAACTTGCAGCGCCCGTTTCTTCTTTCTTCTCTTCTGCCGGCTGCTGGCAGCCGAACAAAACTCTTTTCTTGTCTCTTGCAATCTTTTGTGGGGGCGCGCCAGCGCATCCACTGGGTGTAGCCCCCGAGATTCAGACCGACTGCTGAGCAGTCGGGCCGGATCTCCCGGCGACTACTTTATCTTCTCTCTCGCGGGGGCGCGTCAGCGCACCCACTGGGTGTAGCCCCCGAGATTCGGGCCGACTGCTGAGCAGTCGGGCTGGATCTTCCAGCGACTACTTTGTCTTTGTCTCTTTTATCTTCGTCAGCCGACTGCTGGTAGCCGGACGGGCACGTTTCTTTTTTCTCAGCACCTGGCCACTTTCTCAGTCGGACGCGATGCTCTTTTTTTTTGCCAGTCAGCTGTGTGCAGTCGGACACACTCCAGTCGGCCTTAAGCATCCGACCTTTAACTTTTTCAGCCGGCAGTCGGTCTCTTCTTTTCTCTCTTTTTTTTTGCCAGACGGCCGTGGGCACCCGGCCTTTTCTTCACCCGGCTCCCGGATGCACACACACATTTTATTTTTTCGCAGCAGACAGCCGGCCCACTTTTTCCAGCCGGCCACCAGGCAAACAACCTCTTCTTTTTCTTCAGGCGCTGGTCTCATCAGGCGGCTGGAGCGCGACCCGGCAGGGGCGCGCGCGGCACAGCCGGACACGGCGCCCGACCCGGGAGCCGGCAGCGGAGGCGCGTGACCTGGCCGGCCAGAGGCGCGGCGGGGGAGTCGGCACGGCGCGCGGAGGTGCAGGCGGCCTCGGGCGGAGTCGGACGCGGACGCGCGTGGCCGAGCCGGCACGGGGAGGCGGCGGGGAGCCGCAGTCGGACGGGAGGCAGTCGGCGGGCGCGAAGATGCTGGGTCGTGCGTGGCCGAGTAGCGGAGCGGCTCGGCATAGCGAGTCGGAGGCCGGGAAGGCGAGGGTCGGCCGCGGTCGTGAGACGGAGGCGGACGCGTTGGTGACCCGGCAACTAGGCGCGGGCGAATCCACTGAACGGCGAGCCGGCCTGGCGTGCAGGCGGCAGGCGGAGTCGGCCGGACTTGGGGAGGCGGCCCAAAGCTGGCGGGGGCCGGAGCCGTCCGGGTTGCGGGGAGGACCCGGCGGAAGCAGAGCTACCGGCCACGGGCGGAGGCTGCTGGATGGGGCGCGGGGTACGCCACAGACGACCGCGCGGGGCGGCCGAACGAGCGTGGCAACCCGGCAGGCGGCTCGAGAGGAGTCGGACCCAGCGCAGCAGCGCGGGAGAAGCCGGAGCGGGGCGCGAGGAGCCGGACCCGGCGCAGCGGCGCGGGAGGAGCCGGACTCGGCGCTGCGGGCGGAGACGGCGGAGGCGCGGGAGCTAGCACGGACAGGCCGGAGGCCAGGTGGAAGCAGCCGCACACGGAGCCCAGAAGCCGGACTGGGCGGAGCCGCGTGCGAACGCAGGAGGCCGAGCGGGAGCCGGCCCGCGCAGGAGGACGGAGTGAGGCGCGGCGTAGCAGGAGCCGGCCTCGTGGTTGGAGGAGCAGCGACGGCTGGGTGCTGGGTTGCAGCGCGGTTGGTGGAGAGCAGCAGCGCGCAGGGTGCTGGGTGGCTCCATCGCAGGAGTCGAGGGCAACGTGCGCCTCGGAGCAGCACCAGAGGGGTCAGCCGCCGGCTTGGTGGCGCTGCACGACAGGGGAGCGCGGCTACATCCGGTGGCCGGGACGGAGGCGCGCAGGCCATGCTGAGGAGGTGCTTGGCAGCGGGGCTGCTAGCGGAGGAGACGCGCGGCGATGTGGTCTGAGTTGCGTACCGGCAGTGTATGGGGATTATACGACTTGCGCGTGACTTGTGTATAGGCATTGTTCAACTGGTGTCTGGCTATTATCATATGCGCATATGAATTGCATGTGGCTAGTGTTTGACCATGGTTGACTGATGCATC